GATGGTAAGGAGCCAGTGAGAGAGGCATAAAGTACATTAGGGATCCCCCCGTAACTGCAGGGACCTTTTAGAGACTCGACTGAAGAGGGCCAAGAGACTGAAGGGACAGTGACCCTGCATGGATAGCCGCTGTCAAAATTTGACCACGTCAAGCACAAAGGCATTATGGGAATCCAGTGTCACCAAGTCCTAATTACTGTCTGTGTTCAGAGCAAATTACTGCCTTGTTCCTCTGATTAGGGAGGAGGCTAATCTTCACCTGTGTACGCCAGCACTGCTGAGGGCCCTTGAGTGTTAGCGCTTCGTCTTCTGTAATTTATTTTTAAATCAGTGCCCGCTCCCAAGAGTTTTGAGTGTTTTGTTGTGAACCGCTTACCATGATCCCCACCGCCGCCCCCTCACCCCTAAATCCTTGACTAAATCCTTGTTTGGTGCCACAGGAAGATAAGCAATAACAACACTTGGGCATAATTGACTCGTACTCCCCTCCAAGATGTCAGAGCAAAATCATCTCTCTGCATATTGCCTTAGTGTGTCGCACACTGCACACTTCTGCGTGTTGCAGATATAGAATCCAATCAAGTTCTAAAACAAACTAGCCTTATGTCTGAAAAACTTCCTGGTCGACAACAGGGAAAGGGGAAAGAAAAGAAAAAAACTGCAAGAGCTGCTTTTAGCTGCATCTCTTCAGTGAGAGGCAACTCTCGTTTGGCTTCCAGCCTCACCCTGGAGGTGCTGCTTTAGAAACCACAACATTTGCAGATTCTCATCTGAGTGAATGTCAGTGTCTCGTCTGCGTGGGGCGGTTTACAGGTAGTGTGTTACACAGGTGTTGGTTTACACAGGGAATGGCACATGCAGCCTGATTGGGACGGTCCCGAGAGACGGAGGCACAAACATAGAGCACAGATGGGTCCAAGGGCCAGTGGGAGCAGCACCTTAATGAATACGCAGCTGAGTACTACACTTCAAAACATGCAAAACAATATTCTAAGGCCGCCGTAAAAATAGAACAAAAATCATCTGAATATCATCGCACAATGAATAATTCATACCATTTCTAAAGGGACTACGTCTAAAAGTCTCTCCCTTGCTTTATTGATGATTCTATTGAATATCTCAGCAGTTTACAGTTCGTATGATAAAGCATTTTAGTTAAAAATGTAAGCAGTTTATTTAACACACAGCTGTATATTTAGATTTCTATATAGCTGGCATATTTTGTAATTATTCTAAAAGTTCAACTAAAATATAACAGACCCAGAGAGAGAAACCCAAATAAATAAATAAATACAGTAAAAACAAAAACAAAAAAAATAGTAGTAGTTGTGGTTCCGGGTCTGTAAGCATATCATGTAAACAGGCTCCAACCAGGGAATGCATTTACCATACCACGCTATTCAGTGCAAACCAGACACGAGTGTGAGAAAAACGATAAATGCATCACCTCAGATATTTCACACTAGCATTGGTAGTGTGTAAAAGCTGTTGTGACAGCTTGGGTATTAGGGGTGGATAGATGGAAAATGTCTGGCTGCTTATGAATGCCAATGTGACTGGGGGTGATGGGTTTGACACAAAAACACTCCACCTCAGAACAATTAGGCTGTTCTCAGGCCCCATCCAGTGTTGCCGGTGATAATGGAAAGCTGTGAGGATAACTGGTGATAAATAGACTTTAACACCCTCCTCCTTAAGAGCAGTGCAGTTCTGCAGTCCTCTCATATGCTTAACTAATCATGACCATGGCCAGCAAAATCATACAAAAGACTAATTACTGTTGTACTTCACTTCAGTCTCAAAGGCCTCTTATATAAGGACTTGGGGGTTCTCTTGCCTCTTTTCTCCTCTTGATGGTTATTTTTTTTTTACAAGTAGGCCTCACGCTAGACAAAAGCATTTAAAAATTGGTGATTGCTTTCATCCGCTTTAATTACATTCAGAAATGGCATTTCTGCCACATAATACACTTCTATTGTTTCAGAATTATCAGGCTCGGGGAGGAAAATCTACAATATTTGACGATGCTCCCGAGCTAAATCGCCTCTTGAAATTGAAATATGCCGCAGAAATGCAAAATAAAAAGCAAGCCTTTGCAGCTGATACACTGGAAGCTCCTTGGCTTTCTCCAGAATGCTATTATTATGCATATCCAGGTAGAAAGTTAATTAACCCAAAGCTTAAGCTAATTATGGTAGCAGAATGCTATCAACCAAACGCTTTCAGTCAGACAGCTGTCCAGAATTTCATTTGCTAATCATTTGTCTTTTGCCGGAGCATATGGTACATTTCCCCACTATCACAGCAACAACAAACAGATGAAAATCATTAACTAAAAACAATGTGCAATGTGAAAAATCAGACACAGATTTATAAGGCTTTGTGTCGGAGGAAAAAAAGGGGGGATTTATGGCCTGGGAAGTATAATGATAATTTTGGTTTTAGCCACTTAGGATTTTAGGAAGATCACATGACCCAAGTGTGCAGGGAATTCAGATGCACAAATATATTGTTTATATCTATATGCAAATGAGAACGAGTGTTTATCCGTGTAAAATTAATTGCAATTTTCTATAGGAGCTTATGCAAAGAGCTTGTTCTTAATTTTTATCTTCTAACACATTTTGTGCCCGATTTTCAAACACAATATTTTTATGTTGTTAAAAGTAGAACTCCCCAAGCCCAGAATTAAATCAATTATTTTCCCAAGAAATGCTTCATACATTATTTTTCTTTTCATAAAAACACATCATACGGGCTGTTAAAGGGTGATTGATATCAGCATTGCCTCGCGACATTATCAGGCAATAAAGGCTACTCAGGTTCTAATGCAACATGTCATATACCGGCTCCTGTAGTACATTTCTATTGAGGACCTCACAAGCTAAATTGCTTTTTTCCCGCTCCCCCACATCTCAGCTAGCTTGACAGACAAATTGATCAAAGCATTGTAAAATAATATGCTCGCAAAATGTCTCGGGGCAGGAGTCCAGCCCTTTTTTTTTCCATTTTTCACCCTAATAAAAAAGTGTTCCATGATTTCCTCTGTATTATTTGTCTATGCTCTGTGTAAAAGAGGCACCAAGACTCATATTTCAGATAACAGTAAGCTCCTGTAAACAAAATGCATATCGGTTTTTTTTTTTTCTTCCCGTGAACACTAAGGCCATACTAAAAACTAAGGAGGGGAAAACTGTTTAACAGAGAGGCTGGTGCGTAAAGCCCCAACAGGGGTTGTTGAGATGTAATGAATTTGTTCATCTGATGGCGCCTTCAGGGCTGTCGTTAGACTGGCAGAGGAGGCTGATTTCAGGAAATGTTCCTAAGATCAGTTAGGAAGCAAAAGGGGCTTGAGACGTTTCTATTAGAAAAGCTGACGGTCATGGTGCGTAAGCAATACTTCAAAGGCATTTAGTTATAATGGCATTTATCAATAACTCTCTATCAATGCCACAAATATATATATTACGTTCCAGCTGCTCAAATCCAACCAACTGTGCACCTCAAAACATGGAAAGCAAACAGCTTTTAAAGCAAACGCCTGCTGTAGGTCTCGCTCGACTTTATGCAAGAACGTTTATCTATTTCCCTTTTTCCAAAATATGCTCTTAGTGATCGTTTATCACGCTGACTTCCTAAAGCCTGCACCACATCACATTTAAAGCTGGAAAGAGCCTTGTTTAGTATGTCATAAATAAATCAATGGAAATGCCTGATCTGAACTATTACTGCTACAGGCAGGCTTTTGTGAGATCTACATGTAAAGCTGGTCACAAAGATAAGCCTGTTTTTTGTCACTTCATCTCGCCTCCCTTAATGCCTGTTTACATTGAGGAACTCGATGTATCTAAGGTGGCTCTAGTTCCCCTGCCATGTGACAATAACATCATATTCAGCTGGTCATGATAAAATCTAAACATTTTCCTAATAATTCTTGAGAACATACAGACGATATGATCGAAGCTCCACTTATGGCTGACGTAGCAAATGATATTAAACTGAGAAATGATCTAGTGATGCGAATCATTAAATTCATTTGCATATTCCTACTGAACCCGAACACACAAATTAAACCCTGTTCGCGAGGAGACCGAGAAAGGTGCTCGCACATGGTTACAGGACATCTTCCATAATCAAAATTCCATATTATTAATTTCCTCACTTCAACTCATTAACGACAAGTGGAATGTTTTTACTGCTTGATGAATTTTCGGAAAGAGCACACAGTCGAGAAGGAAACACATGTTGAGGGTATAATATACAAGGTCATTAATGGGTTTCCATAAATTTGAATTTAAACGTACATTTGGAAAAGGAGAACTTCTTAACCGGATGCATCTGAAATGGTTTAATTTCCCAAATCATTCAAGTTTATCAAATGTGAATCTACGATACATGGATATTTAATTTCAATCTAATCAAAACTAATCGGAGATGCAGGATCTGGACCTTTCAAACTGAGGAATAAGTACTTATTAACGCTGACTTTAATCAGTTTCAGTCGCTCCAGTAAGACTGCCTACATTCTGACAATTTTGAGGGATGGGCAGGTCACGAAACGCAACCACATATTACATTTCTGAGTGTCAGTTGACACTCGAAACTACTGCATACAACTTGAAGGAAACATAAAGAAACAGGAAAGAACAGTCCACACTCCCAGTGGCCTTAGCTGACCTCCCAGACATCATTTCTAATCAACTCCCTTGAGGGTAATAAACAAGTTATTTTTCTGAAATTTCAAATATACTGCGGGAGGAATCACAACCGCATGCCATCAGAAATCTAATTTCAAGCCCAACTGTATTCTAGTGCCCCTCATATTTCTAGTGCCTGCTCATATTTGCCCAACTTTCTCCAGGATATTTCTTGTGGGATCTACAAAAATGCCCTGCTTCCAATGAGGAATGGTGGCACTCCATCACAGGAGTGGATTCTGTCTGCCTGTAAATTTCACACCTTTGTTTATCACGTCACCCGCCCCGGCTGTTGTACAGTACCTTTCAGCAGGTGCGACATCCATTAGGATCTGGATGGTGTGCACACCATTCTCACATCCACTGACTTGGATCGTCCCCAGGGGGCTCAGCAATGAGATGGTCTTCTGAGTGCATTGGCTCTCCTTTTGCTTCTTCATCTTGCTGCCCTGCTGAGGAAGTACAAATTACACTGGGTTTATTGACATATTCATGTGGCAACTTTTACAATTTCCCACTCATATTTGCATTGAGTGATCTATTGAAAGCCAAGTGGGTCACCAACAGAGCATAACTTACGTATCTGAGCACCTAACCTCCCAACAATGTCATGATGCGACTTGATCCCTGCATTACTCTCAAATATTTCTTTTGTGCATGGAAAAGAATACGCCTATCTAACCAATAAATCGCCCATTTTTCCCCTCTTTCTGTTCTATATATCACATAAATGAGAAAAACAATGCAGTCTGTTCCCTTGTCTGGTGGGGGATTCCCAAGATAGCTCGACATTATTTTCAATCCGTCATTTTTGGTTGATGGCCGGGATGTTTTTCTAGCATTAAATTTGTTCCTTAGGGTGCAACTCCAATGGGATTCTGGTTTCCAGCCCTTAACAACAGCAAAAACGTGCAGCTTTTCTGACGACTGAGATGGATACTGGCAATAACCAGACAGCAGTTCCTTTTTTATTTTTACTTTGAGGGACGAGAGATGATTGACTATGTTATATGTGAGTTTTTGAGGGATGGGGGTTATAATAAATAAAGGTCACATTGACTGTAGGAGCTTCAACCAAGAATACCTTTAATTCACAAAACCTTAATTTGAAAAGTGTAAATAGTGCAAAAACTATTTAGCTCACCTTTTATATTTTTTTTAATCAACTCAATTCAGATACATCGATTGCCCTTATGTTTATTTCATAACTGATAGTTTTGTTGAACCGCAACTGACTACTGTTTAATTTTTTTTATCAACTGAATTAGTTCATTTTAAATTTAAACTAATACTAAACAAGAAGTGTATGTGACAAAGTGTTCCACGGTGGTGTTTTAAAATAAGACAAAGAGCAAATTGTCAAATAAATTTAAGCTTTACTTGCCAAAATATTTACAATAGTATATAGATGTCTTTGCAATAAACTCTCAATCATTAATGTATTTTAAATAATTTTTTACAGTGTTAAAAAAGATTTAAGCACCTGATTTCTCAATATAATTTAATAAGCAATCATGTATTAACTTACTGCTTACAGTCTTGTGGTTTAGCAATTCAATCTACAATCATGTGCTAAACTAAAAAGGGAAAAAGAACAAAAAATTAATTGCGGTGAGCGACTACTATTATTCATTTTAGAAAGAAAAAAAAGGAGGAAATCCTAATTCTATTCTCTCAAATATGACTGTTTTCTAATATTGTCAGTCTTGAGGGATAGCAAACTGAATTTTGGGGAGTTACGCTCCGTTAGTCAGACAACAAAATCCAACTGGGAGATGTTACTTTTTGAGCTTCAAGACATTTGATAGTGTTAAACAACTTTATTTATATTTGTTATAATAACAACCTAAAAGGCGAAATTAAACCCCAAACTAAATAAAGTAGTTTCCCGTTATTTATTATATACTACTTATTTTTAATTTCTTTGTCGTTTTAAGTTAACCCCCTTCCCCAGCTCCTTCACAAACCAGCACATCTGTCATGGTATGTGATCACAAATGCGTCTGCTTCAACTTTCTTGTTTCTACTCTTGCAGCTCTCACTGTATTCATCAGGGGTTTGCCTGAACTGACAATAAAGGCAAGAATTTTCAGAGCCAAACAATGGTACAGTGCACTTTGGATAAGCGTTGGGCACACTGTCATTTAGCGGCCTGATAATAAACTCGTAAATAGAATAATGGAGTTTGGCAATAATGGCCGCCACTAATCGTCTGTGCTGATTAAAAAAAATAAGGTTCTCTCCTGTTGGTTCCGTCGTTTTCGGTGCAGTTCACGAGTCCATTTAGTGACTGCTTGGCTGTTTACCCTGCTCTTCACGGTGAGGAATAACAAACAACAAGCAGCTTGTGTTGTTGATAAGAAAGAAGGGGGGGGGGGGGTCGTTGGCATCGTCCTCGCGCTCGTCAATCATTTGACTGGTTTCTCATTAGACTAGTTCCTGGTCAAACCTGCGTGATTAATTGAGTAGAAAGCTCGCCGTGACTGCGCAGGTGTAAATATGCAACATGTGCTGTTTTAAATTCAGAATTTCAGCCTGAAGCACGCGGGACATTTGATGGTATCCGGAAGGAAACAGCGCGTGCCCGCACCTGGAAATACAGTGAAAAAAACAAACAAACAAAAAAAAAAAAAAACAGGAAGTTTGTGTGACGGATAACAGAGATTTTAGGGCACTTTCTGAGCTGTGTTTTTAATTCGCTTGAATAAAGTACGTTTAACTATAATATTTAGCTTTGTGGCTTACAAGTGAAGTCTCTTCCACCTCTCATGTACCGGTGCAGTCTAATTTTCTTCCCCCTTGGCAAAACGAAACGACTCTTCCTGTTTCTTCGGGCAGCGTGGTCGAGCCGTCCAATCACGATGGACAAAAGTCCGCTCCTGCTCTGTGATTGGTCAATAGGAAGTCTTCGCTCCTCCCCCTGAAAGAGACAAACATAACGGAACTCTTCTCTAATCCGTCTTAAATTGGGATTTGGGCACCTTCAACGGTTCCTCAATACGCCAAGAACTTGTAATGATAGCGATTAATGTATTTGATTTGCTTGATGTTTATACAGAAGAAAATATAAAAATGCACATTTTGTGCATCAATTTCAAACACTGTTATCATTCTCCTTGAATCTGAGACGTTGATCCAGTTTTGTATCTCCAGTGACAGATAGTGAGGAGCTAGGCGTAATGTTTGTAGATAAAATTAACACCTATTTGACTGCAGCAACCAATAACATCTTATGTATTGGCAACTAATAAAGTCAGCATGTTATTATGAGCAACACATGGGGCACTACTCTGTTTTTTATTAGATTTCCATGCAGTCTAAAGAAAAATAAGTAGAATGTTGTTGCCTGAAGCATTTATTTCAATAATTGTGACAAAGTGTGTTGCATCAGTCATCTTTGTTTTAAGTGTCTGCTGTCCTCTGCAGTGTTGTTTTTTTTTTATTTCTGTGGAGCCTTCAGCTCTCTGCATGCCTTCGTTTGGAATGTGTAGGCCGACATGGGCCTGTGGCCCACACCCCATCTCAGCGGTGAGGGTGGGAGTGGGGGGAGAGAACGCCACCCCTGCAGAGACCATTTTGAAATCTGTGAGGATTTCCGTGCCATCTGGACCCGCTGCCAGTCTGCCCCAGATAGTAAGGGTTGGCAACGGTACCCGACGGTGCAATATGGCTCTCTCTTTAATGAACTACTAACTGTCCCCCGTTTTAATTGATGTGACATTTGAGCCATTTATCTCTGACATTTCAATGAAGGATGATTCTCAGCCTTGCCATTTACTTTTTTGTGCTATTTTCTAAGAGTCATTTGCATTTTTCTTCTCTAAACCTGCTTTTTGTCTCTCATTAGCTAATTAGAGGAACATGCACAATTAATAAAAATGAACATAACCTAGTTTGATACAGGCTTGATGAGGGATAATCAGAAAATCAGTTTCCTTAACATTTAACAGAAATATTATGAAGGGCTATCTTTGGTAAAAGGTGACTCCAATGAAGCCTTGTAACCTTTACCCACATACCAACATGTAGCCTACAGTGTGGGACAACTTATGTTCTCAGCATGGGGAGAATCAAGCTCAATTAATCAGCATATGATTGCAGTAAGCAGCCCCCTCTGCTGGATCTTTGGAGCCATACTGTTTGAAATCATGCAAATACTACAGACTTTTATCATATGTGATTGTGGTACTCCCATGGCGTTCAAATGTTTGTTTGCTTGCATTTGATTAAAAAAATCTTAAATGTCTAATTTTAATTAAATTGGATGCAATTTGTAGGCATTTTTATTGCATGTAAAATTAAATACCACATGTGCATCAAGGTTTTGTTAATGTTTTGGCCAAGTTTCTTTTTTTTTTTTTTTAATAGTGCAAAAAATGTATATAAATAAATAATAAATTTAAAAAAAACATGGAATATTTTAGCCATTATGTTTTGAGGCAAATCACCTGAGGTGCATGTGAGCGACATAAAGTTGGTATACTAAATTCAAGCCCAATTGTTTTCCATAATGACACATATTTTTAATTTTTTTATACATCCTTTAAAACCATGGCTCCATTGATGACGGCTGTTCCTTTGATTGTGAGTGGTATCATTGCCAAGGTGCAGTGCCCTATCTGTGCCGTCAGCCAGGCTGGTATCTTTTGTTTGAGACTCAAAGAGCTCCTTTTCCTGTTCAGTTTCCCCCACTATTTTTGTTTGTTTGACGTGTTGATAGACTTATATATTGCACAGCTTCCTTTTAGTGTAAAGCACCAGATGTTTGTGAGAATAACAACCCCATCTCTTTTTTTTTTCCATTATAAGAGAGTTTGTTTAGAAGCGGTTTTGTCCGTCCGGTTAAATTGTCACAGCTCAGTCATGCACTGCCTGTGTCTATCTTGCACTCTTTTCCTGTGTCTCACTCTCATGTTGGCGTGGGAGGAGTTGAAGTCATTTATGATATCAGATATTCTCTTGGAGAGCATGAACGTCCTGACAGACCGAATAACCACTATCCTCTCACACAGTGGTGTGTGTGAGCGTGCATTTTAATCAGGTAAAAATGGCTCTGTGGGCCTTGCACTGCACATCGAGAACATTTGTTGTTTGTCGCTGTGTAGAACCAGAACAGAGAAATGTTATATCTGTTTCTCTAAATCAACTGTAAAGCAGGAATTTGAAAAAAGGCAAACTATTATTTAGTTTGTTTTTTTTAAAACTTTGTAATTTCACTCCTCTCCAAAGAATTAGCCCGATCGTCCATGTGAGCTACTCCACAACCACAAAGATGAGACTCTGCACCCTCAAGTATCCACTTGTTTAGTGTGCCTGTGTGCTTCCGTCCCTCCATTTCTGATATGATGTTGCTTCTCTATTTTACTGTTGACACAGTGCTACGAATGTCTGAGCATTTTGCAAATGAAGAGGCTTGAACTCCTGACAGGCAGTGTCGCCGGCACCATGACACACTGGCCCGCACATGCTGTGCGGCATAATGATGACATTAGGATCCAGTGATAATATCAGGACGCACTTCAGATAAATGACTGATAAACCAGGGGTTGTGCCTCTCGTATTACACGCTTGACAGAGCAGCTAATCAGTGTCCAAGTGACTGCTATTACATAAATCATGAGCTTGACTTTGATGCATATTCCAACGGTGTTCCCTATTCATCACGTCATCTGGGGAAGATTCTCTGGATGACTGGCTGCCGAGCCAACACACATTTTAAGAGCACATTATGTTTTCATTAGAATTTGATATGATCCATTCCAGTGTTGATTTGATTTTACGTGCTTGGGTCATTTGATAGTAGGCTACTCAGGAGAGGGGGGTGTATTGTTACGCTGTGTGAGCTGTTTCCTCCTACTGACTGCTTTTATTGGCAAGGCAGTTTTTGATAAACAACCATGTTTCTTCATAGAAAAAAGTAATTTTTTATTCACTTTTTTTTTTCTTGTACATTTAAGAACTCACTTGACCCGTGCTCTTGGTCAATTTTCAAAGCTGAGATGAGTAATACTGTTTCACTTGGTAATAAAATCACTCTGCACTTGTAGATGAAGTTGGAAGGCAAATATTAGGTGTTGAAGTGAGTCACCATGTATGTTTTATTCTCCGGTATTGGGGTCAGAGGATGTGAAGGTGGGGGTGTTAATTTAATCCCCATTCTTACCCTGAGCATGGCCACACTCTCTAAGGAGCTTTATCTCTGACAACTGTGTCAAATTAGAGAGACCACGAGCCCCTCATAAAGAATATGTCTGTCAGACTACATTGTTCCTGGCTTCTGAAATATACGGCTGAGTGGGACAAAAATAGAAGATAACACCTTAGTCCCAATGTTGGACTTGGACATGATGAAATAATTTTCAAACCATGGGATCCTGACATTGACACAAACCAGTAATGAAACTGATGTTCACGTCATGTGTTGTTTTTTTTCTTTCTTTCATAGATTTCAAAAAGTAACATTGTCTTCAATAAGCACATGTAATATTTATAAAGTGTTGCACTTCTTTTTTTATTTGACTAATAATATGCTGAACAGACCTTTTTTTTTTAAATTAAAAAGAAAACTTTAATGTCAATAATTTATCATAATTCCACTTGGTTGTATAATTGATGGTGGCGTTACGTTCCATTAAACATGGCACATAACTCCAGGTCAGTCCAGTCTAATAAGTGCCCATCATTTATCTCCCTGGTATCATTGCAGCACTACAGTCAAACATGTAAAACAACTCTTAATGTTCTCCCTAGTCCCCTATGGGTGTTTCTCCCCGTTATCATCATTGCCTCTATTCTGCGGGGACTTCCTCTGGAGACAACATTTTCATAGACCTTTGACCTAAACCATATTTTCCATTTGAATGGTCTGACTAGTGAATATTTACAAGCATGTTTAATATATAATAGATCTCATCTGTGAGTATTAGGAGCCATTTTCTGCTCAGTCAGGTTCTGGTGCTGGCCTCGCCCCCCTCGCTTGTGATAATTTTGACCCCTCTTAAAAACAAAATGACCTGTGCCTCATTTAGGCCAAGTTGTATGCATACGTACTGCACAAGTCCTAAGGGCATACATGTTTATAACAAGAAAAGCTGGCAGTCTCGAATGTAAACATCTTAGCACTGTAATATTATTGTATCAGTAAAGTCCCAGAAGGTGGAAGATTTAATAATGTGGGTGGATTATATAAGAGAGAGAAATAAAGCAGTAATTTGAAATTGTTTGGGGACCTTTTGTGTCAATGGTTATAGAGGCTAAGGGACAACTCCTTTCCCTCAGGCCAGTGTTAAAAAGGCAATGACTTTTCTTGTACATGCACAGCATTTTGGAATCTACATGAATTACTACCAGAGGCTTTTATTGTGTGATTAGTAATACATAATATATTTGATTCTATTACCATGCTTGAAAAAAAAAAAGAAAGAAAGAAGATGGCGAAACAGGAAGAGTGTGTTGATGAATACCGTCTGCGCTGAAGTGAATTAATATACATTTGCCAGAGAAACAGATCTCGGTTTG